AGCAGGAACACAAGCAGGGGGAGTGGGAGAGGGAGAAGCAGGCTTCCCGCCGAGCAGGGAGCCCGATGTGGGACTCGATCCCAGGAGCCTGGGATCATGACCTGAGCCGGAGGCAGACGCTTAACGACTGAGCCACCCAGGCGCCCAGTAGCTCTTTCCTTTTAACTACAAACACAGAAAATATTGAAAGTGATTAAGTATTATCATCATCATCACATTTAAATATGATGTGCAATCCAGAGCAAAACCAGAGCGAGTGGCACGAAATGTCAGTTACTCCCTACCTGCCCGCGGGTAGCTGTGAGTCACCGCTGGTCACCCCTATTCTTCATACACGGGGCAGCTGTGGCTTCTTGGGAGCTGCCTTAGGTCCTTATTGCCCATGTGACGCTCTGACCAGGTCTGTGTGGTGAAAGCACCCTCCCTCTGACTGCTTCCTGCCAAGGTCCCCTCTTGCTTGCCCACTTACCGTCCAGGGACAGAACATTGCCCTTCCCTCCTTCCACATGCAGAAGCCCAGGAAAGACAGATGCAGCTGCAGATCCATCGTATCTGCCAGTGGGCGATCCCTTTTTCCTAGACTTCTTCTCTGCACTTGACCAGCCTTGTCCTTTAGGCAACAGCCTCATTTCTGCAGCCGGGCACTCTGAAACTTAGCAGTTGGGACCATTTGCATCAAATTACCAACACCATTGCCAAGAACCACTGCCAAGTGTCCCGTTACACAGGCGCTTGGAGTTTGGCACTTTCTGTCCAGGTTCATCGGTCTCCCCACTTGGATTTGGGAACTGTGGAAAATGGGGACAGGGACAGGGTGGTATCAATATCTTTAGGCAGGAAGCTTTTCTTCAAATGAAACCTTAGGCAGAAGCCCAAGATGGAAAATAAAGTGTGACTGCTCTGGCCACCGTACTCTGGGGCTTCCCAGAGCACAGACCCCACAGCCACCCTCCTTATTGGATAGACACAGAGAGGGATAGTGGCTTCCCCAGGGTCACACAGCTAGTGAGTGGTGGAATCATCAGATCCTGGTTCTCTAATTCCCAATCTGGGTTTTTCTCCCACTGTGAAGAATGATAATTTTTTATAATTGAAGTAACTGTCAATATCATAGTATATTAAGATTTATGTCTTAATCGAGGCTGGTTCGAATCCTGTCTCTACAGTTCTCTGTACTCTGTTCTTTTGAGCTCTCGAAAATAATGTTGGGATTTGGGGTCTGTTAGATTTGCTCAGGTCAGGGGCACAGAGATGCAGTCCTGGCCTGCAGCATCACCCCAGGACTCCCGGGGAGACACATGTGAGGAACAGTGACCAAGGAAAGCAAAGGCGCTCTTCTTTACTACCAGAGCTTGGGGCCCAGATTTGAGCACATGAGCTGCTTTTGCGGAGAGTTAGGCCAGCCGTTCCCTCCCACCAGTGCCAGGGAGGTGAGCCATCAGAAGCAAAAGAGCACAGAGCCCAAGACAAGCACTCTGGACCGGACCTGGCCGGCATGGCAGCCTGGGTGGGAGGAAGGGGGTAGAAGACCGCAGGCCTCCACAGGTTGGGTACGCTGCCCTCCAGGCAGGGGCCTGACACTCACTGTCTCAGTCTCCTGGAATGAAGAGACCAAAGAGGGGATAGCATCCCTCCAGGGTGTGACCTTTCCATGTTCGGTGACACCCTCACTAGGCAGTGTGACCGTGGGGCCCTTCATTCAGACCAGTGCTCCCCGTCGCAGTTGGGAATGGGAAGATGGGGGTAGAGAGCCCCCCTCCCAGGTGCATTATTCTTCCTAAGCTTTTGTCCTTTTCTCCCTTCCTGTGCCTGGTACGGAGGCTAAGGGGTTCAAGCCTGCAGTGGGCAATGGTGGGGGGTAGGGGTTGGCCGTGGAAGCATCGCCCTTCTCCCAGTGGCTTTCCTTCCTTAGGGCCCTCAGGGTCCTGACCCATGCCTGCACACTGGGGCTGCCCTCTGCCTCTCGGATCTTGGCCAGTGCATGGCGACCCTCTCCTTTACTTAGAGACTTGGTTTTCATTCTGTTAATCCCGAGAGCCCTGCTCTCCCTGCTTGCTTTGTCCTGCATCCTAGCAGCTCTTTGAGGAGGTGGGGCAGCTTGGGGCGACCCAACTGCCAGTTCTGCAACTCCAAGTGTCCTCTCTCCTCATTCTTCTGGATTGACCTCCACACCAGGTGTCTCCCTTCGACATTGAGCCCTCAAGCGGGCAGATTCACCCTCTGGGGGAGTGCAGAGTGAACATCACCTTGGAGGCCAAGCAGTGTCAGCGACTGCAGACCATCCTGGAGCTGGAGGTGGTAAACGGGGCCTGGAGGTAAGGGGGCAGCCGGGCAGCCATGACAGCCCACTCCGTGCCTCGTCAGAGCATATGGATGTTGTACGCCACGAGGGATTTATAGCCATTAAGGAATTTAAGGGTATTGAAACATGTTTATTCTATAAAATTTGGAAATTACAGAAAAGAAAATCCATGGCCCAGAGAAAATTCACTGGTCATGTTATAGGGAATATCCTTCTAGTCTGTGTGCCAAAGGATTGGAAATGAGTACGATCACTTTCAACAGCACTCTGTGTCACCCGGTAAAGTCAAGTGTGTGCATTCCCTGTGACCCAGCATCAGCCCTCAGAGAGGCGCGCCCAGAGAAACACACACGTGTGCGCTGGGAGCCGAGCACTCACAGGGGATGCTCATCACCATCGTTCATAGTCGTGAAAAACTGGAAGCAACCAGTGTTTGTCAACAGGAGAATGGACACCAAAAATTGTGATGTATTTAAATGAGCAAATACCACTGTCTTCTGGGAGGCCCGCCCTGGAAGTTTCAAAGGGTTTTAGTGCAATTCCTTTTCTTTCCTCCTCCCTCTCTCCCTTCCTGCCTGCTTTCCTTTTTTTCTTTCTTGTGGACAATTTCTTACATATATAAAAATAGAATAGTATAGGGCGCCTGGGTGGCTCAGTTGGTTAAGCGACTGCCTTCAGCTCGGGTCATGATCCTGGAGTTCTGGGATCGAGTCCCGCATCGGGCTCCCTGCTCGGCGGGGAATCTGCTTCTCCCTCTGACCCTCCCCCGTTTCATGTGCTCTCTCTCTCTCTCTCTTTCAAATAAATAAATAAATAAATCTTTTTAAAAAAAAGAAAAAAATAGAATAGTATCATGAGCCCCCACATACCCATCACCTACCTTCAGTAATTATCATATCACTACAAATATTGTTTCATTCATCTCCTTCATCCCTTCCCAAATTATCTTGAAGCATCATATTTGTTTTAAGATTTTATTTATTCACTTGAGACATAGAGATACAGAGAGAGAGAGAGAGCATGAGTAGGGGGAGAGGCAAAGGGAGAGGGAGAAGCAGGCTCCCCGCTGAGCCAGAAACCCGATGTGGGCTTCAGTCCCAGGACCCTGGGATCATGACCGGAGCCGAAGGCAGACGCTTAACCATCTGAGCTACCCAGGCGCCCCTCATACTTATTGTCTTAAGCTGAGTAAGGGTGGTACACAGGTGTTATTATTATTCTTTAAACTGTATATATGTAACTTATGCTGTAGCTGTGTTTAATAGTCATTTCTGCGTATATTTGGTATTTCATTATAAAAACACTTAAGTGTTTGTTTTAAATCTTCATGGATACTCTTGAATTATCCTCCAAAAAGACTGCCATTTTATCCTTCCACCTCTAGCACATGAGGCTGCGCATTACCCTACGAGCTCACCGTGACAGATATAATCTGACTTTTAAATGTGACCACCTGATGGCTGCGGGGGTAGGACCACCTGTGTCCGTTTGGTTTGAATGTATTTCCACGCAATCACCAGCACGGGTTTCAGTGGGACTCTTCCTCACTGGTCCCACGTGGCATCTTGCAGCCCTTAAATACAAGGTGAAGTCTTTCTCCCCTGGGAGAATGCCTTTTATTAAGTCTGCCTATTTCCTTTCCTATCTCTGTTGTTCTTCAAGGACCCTGCGTGAATCAGAATGTTTCCAGTTGTAGGTGATGGAAACACAGATGGAACCAACTTAAGCATAACAGGGAAGCTGCTGGCTCCTGGAAAGGGGCATTCCTGCTCTGCTGAATCCATGGGCTCCAGCCTTTTTGGGTCTGCTCTTCCACTTCTCTCTCATTCTCTACCTCCTTTCCTTACCCTCACCGCCCCACCCCCCAACTCTGCTTCTCTGCTCGCCTTTCTCTCCCCTGGTGGCAAGCGCCCTTGGCCACTCTGCCCCGGGGAGGGGGGCCACTTAAGGCTCCAGGCTCCCACACTCCCAGCTTAACAACCTTCGAGAATAAGGAAACCGGCTTTCTCCGGAGGTGGACTCTGATTGGGCCTCTTTGGGTCACGTGCCCCCTCCCCACAGGCCTGTTTCCGAGGGGGAGGGGCGGCTTCCAGAAGAAGCTGGTGGGAAAGTTGGCCAGACAGGAAAGACCGCAGCCACCACAGCCCACCACAGCCCACCACAGGTCTGCTGCATCTGGACTGCAGGAATTTAATTTTCCTCCTATCGTCTACCTCTCAGCGTTTGTGATCCTTGTTCAGGGAGATGTCCTTGGCCTTGCAGGGTGCGAATTCGGTCTTTGGTGGATGCCCTTCTTTTGGCAGTCATATTTTTAAAATGTCAAGCTTTTTTGCTCTCGGATTCATCCTTTTTTATAGTAGTCTGTTATTGACTTATGGATGCAGCAGCGTCTCAGATTCCCCCAAGGAAACTCATCTTTGTTTTCTCACCTTTTGGTTGGGATCCTTCTCCTTCACTTTTGGGGTTTTCTTCTACAATAAGTAATCCTTGGCTGCCCACTCCGGATTTGGAGTGGGAGAGGAAGGAGATTTACATGAGGAGCTGGTGGTCTAGGTTTCTGAGGAAGTGGGTGTAGGTGTCGGGAGCACTCCTCTTCCAGGGAGCAAAGTGGACGTGAGCACCCTCAGTACCCAGAGACCTGAATCCAGCAGGAAGAAGGCACCTTTGGGGAAGGCAGCCAAGACAAACAGTAGAGGCAACCCACCCTGGCCAGCTACTCAAATCTTTGCATTCCTTCATCTGTAAATAGGAATGAAGTGGATTTCTATGGTTATTTTCCCTCGGTGCTAGTTGAGAGGGCCAGTGTTCCTGCAGAATCAGCCCTGACCTTTCGTCAGCCCCACACTCACCTTCTAGCGTGTGGCTGTGTGGCTGTGTGGTGTGCGTGAGCTCAGGCGTTGGGGCCCTGAACTGGCCACGCTAACCTCCAGGCAGTCTTGAGTTAAGTCCTTGGCCCTTTCCCCACAGCCCACTCCTGCCCATGAGGTGCCTCGTTCTGTTGTTAGGGAAGCTCTGCAGGGCCTTCTCCAGGGATTTTAAATGGTCTGTTCTCTGTGTGATTAGCTAATCTGATCACGTCCTTTCTTCTTTTTTTTTTTCTCATTAGAACAGCATTATATTTACTTCTTTATTCTTTATTTACAGTTTTCCACAAATGGTATGTGATATAATGGTGCAGGTGTAACAGTGGCCAATCCTGACCCAGTCTCCAGCCTTCTGCACTCTGCTGGCCTATTTATCCACATCCTCATCATCTGTTAATGGTAGTCATCCCAGTGTGTGTGAAGTGATATTTCATTGAGGATTTGGTTTATTTTTTCCTAATGGCAAATGATGTTTTGCATCTTTCATGTGCTTATTGGCCATTTGTCTTCTTTGGAGAACTGTATTGAGATCTTTGCCCACTTTTTAAAAATAGGGTTGTCTTTTTTTATTATGGAGTTGTAAGTGTTCTTTCTATATTCTAGAAATAAGTTTCTTATTAGGTATATGATTTTCAAATATTTTCTCCCATTCTGAGGCTTATCCTTTCACTTTCTTGATGGTATACTGCAAAGCCTAAAAATTCTTGATTTCCGTGAGGTCCACTTTATTTTTCTCTTTTGTTGCTTGTGCTTTTGAGGTTATATCTAAAAAACCATTGCCTAATCTCACATCACAAAGATTTTCTTCTAAGAGTTTTGTAGTTCGGGCTCATACATTAAGGTCTGTGATCTGTTTTGAGTTCATTTTTGTGTATGGTGTGAGGAAGGGATCCAGCTTCATTCTTTTCTATGCAGATAACCAGTTGTTCCAGCACCACTTTTTTAAAAAGATTTATTTGACAGAGAGTGAGTGTGCGATCAGGGGGAGGGGCAGAGGGAGAGGGAGACAAGCAGACTCCCCATTGAGCAGGGAGCCCAACGTTGGGCTCGATCCTAGGACCCTGAGATCATGAGCTGACCCAAAATCAAGAGTCGGATCCTCAGCCAACTGAACCACCCAGGTGCCCCTCGGCACCATTTTTTAAGAACACTATTCTTTACATTGACTTGTCTTGGCACCCTTGTCAAAATCAATTGATTAGGGGCACCTGGCTGGCTTATTCAGTGGGGCATGTGACTCTTGATCTCAGGGTTGTAAGTTTGAGCCCCACACTGGGTGTAGAGATTACTTTAAAAAAAATCTTAAAAAAAATCAATTGGCTATACACGTGAAGGTTTATTTATAGACTCTCAGTTCTGTTCCATTGATCTATATAATTATTCTTATGGTAGTACCACATTTTCTTGATTACTGTGGCTTTGTAGTAAGTTTTGGAATCAGGAAGTATGAATTCTCCAACTTTGTTGTTCTTTTTCAGGATTGTTTTGGCTATTTTGGGTCCTTAGAATTTCCATATGAGTTCTAGGATCAGTTTATCAATTATGGCAAATAACCAGCTAGGATTTTAGTAGGGACTGTATTGGATCTGTTGGTCAATTTGGGGATTATATTCACCTTAACCATATTAAATCTTCTTATCTGTGAACATTAAATGTCTTTCCATTTATTTAGGTTTTTTTTTTCATTTCTTTTGGTGATCTTTTGTCATTTTCAGTGTATAAATCTTGTACTTCTTTTGTTAAAGTTATTCCTATGTATCTTTTTTGATGCTTTTGGAAATGGACTGGTTTTCTTAATTTCATTTTATGAATATTCATTGCTAGTTTATAGAAATACAAATATTTTTGTTCATTGATCTTGTATCGCACAACCTTGCTGAATTCATTATTATTTCTAATAGTTCTCTAAGTAGAAGATTGTGTCATCAATATACAGAGATAATTTTACTTCTTGTCTAATTGGTATGCTTTTTATTTCTTTTTCCTGCTTAATGGACCTAATACTCCAGTATAAAGTTGAATACAAGTGGCAAAAGTAGACATCCTTGTCTTGTTCCCCATCTTTAAAAGAAAGCATTCGGTCTTTCCCTGTTATGTAAGATATTAGCTCTTGGCTTTTTGTTGATGTGCTTTATCAGGTTGAGGAAGTTCCTTCCTATTCCTAGTTTGCTGATTGTTTTTCTACTGAAAGAATGTTAGATTTCCTTGAATGTTTTTTTCTGCATCTATTGAAATGATCATGTCCTTTTTATCCTTTGTGTGTGTCAACGTGGTGTTTTACATTGACTTTTGGATGTTAAAACCAACCTTGTATTATAAAAATCCCATTTGGTCAGTGTATGGTCCTTTTTATATGTTGCTGGATTTGGGTTGCTGGTATTTTGTTGAGGATTTTTGTATCTGTAGTCATAAGAGATATTGGTCTGTGTTTTTGTGTGTGATGTCTTTGTCTGGTTTTGTTACTAGAGTAATACATCTTAGAATGAGTTTGGAAGTGTTCATTCCCTTCTCTGTCATTTAAGAGTTTGTGAAGGATTGGTGTGGGTGTATGTCTAGATTTTCTATATTGTTCCATTGGTCTGTGTGTATTTCTCTCCACCAATGGTTCACTATCTTGATTACTGTAGCCATAGAGTAAGTCTTAACATTCAGTACAGTGATTTCTTATTATATTCTTCTCTTTTTTTAAAGATTTTATTTTATTTATTTGAGAGAGCAAGAATGAGAGAGAGAGCACATGAGAGGGGGGAGGGTCAGAGGGAGAAGCAGACTCCCCACTGAGCAGGGAGCCTGACACGGGACTCGATCCCAGGACTACAGGATCATGACCTGAGCCGAAGGCAGTCACCCAACCAACTGAGCCACCCAGGCGCCCTGTATTCTTCTTTTTAAAAATTGTTTTAGTTAGTCTATGTCCTCTATGTTTCCATATAAATTTTATAATGAGCTTGTCTATATTTACAAAAATCCTTTTTGGGAGTTTCCTAAGAATTATGTTAAACCTATAGATCAATTTGTGGAGAATTGACATCATTACTATGTTGAGCCTTCTAATCCATGAACATCGTATGTCTCTCCTTTTATTAAATTTTTGATTTCTGGGGTACCTGGGTGGCTCAGTCGTTAAGCGTCTGCCTTCGGCTCAGGTCATGATCCCAGGGTCCTGAGATGGAGCCCCTTGTTGGGCTCCCTCCTCGGCGGGAAGCCTGCTTCTCCCTCTCCCACTCCCCCTGCTTGTATTCCCTCTCTCGCTGTGTCTCTCTCTGTCAAATAAATAAAATCTTAAAAAAAAATCTTTGATTTCTCTCATCTGCGTTTTGTAGTTGTCAGCATATAAATCCTGTACAGGTTTTATTAGATTTATATCTAAGTATTTCAGTTTTTCTGAACAATCATAAATAGTATTGTATTTTTAATTTCTATGCCCACATGTTCGTGGTCCACAAATGTGATGTTGTACCCTGTAACTTTGCTGACTTGTTAGTTGTGGGAGGTTGTTGTAGTTGTTGTTACTGTTTTTTAAGAAGTTCTTAAAATATAGACTCCTTGGGGTTTTCTACATAGACCATCATGTCATCTGCAAATAGGGAGTTTTTGCAGTATACCTGTTATTTCATTGTGTTCCAGCTACCTTCCTGTGTATGCCGAGGTACAGGAGCCCCATGTGTACCTGCAAAGCAGCCACGTGGAAGTCACGAACCTCTATGTGGGTGTGCCCACCAAGGTGACAGTTACACTCATCAATGGCACACTCCTGCCTACCCGATTCCACTGGGGCAAGGTAAGTGAGCCTGCACCGTCAGCCACGGGGTCTGCAGCCCTCAGCACCAGAGGCCCATGTGGAGAGGGAGGTTGCCCCCTAGGTGCTCCCCAGAACAGAGGCTCACCTCTCTCCCGCAGCCTGCCCCTTGCCCCACAGTGCTCAGAACTGCTGGGCTCCTTGAAGGAGCAGCACATCTGGTCTGGTTTTTCCTTGCCCTGCCTCCAGGGAATTCTAGTTCCCTAGCTGAGAAGGAGTCACTGGAACACACAGCCAGAGCTCCCAGCCGGCGTAGCCCATGGCTGGCCCACACAGCTGTTGCGAGCCCCGCTGGGCACCACCCGTGGGGCTGACCGTGGACCTTGCTTTGTGTGCTGTGGGAGGTGGGAGATGGGGCCATGTCCCATGCCTCAGAAGCGGCTGCCCTTTGCTCACCCTCACCCTGGGCCTCCCAGGGCAGCTTGTTTAGTCCAGGCAATGCCTGACAGGTGTGAGGTCTGCCCAGGGTTGGGGAGGGCAGGAGAAGGGACCGGTGGATTAGCCCCGCCAGAGAGCAGCCAGCCCTTTCTGGTCCTGCTGCGGGCCCCCAGACCGCCAGCCTCCAGCAGAGCGCGCCCCAGTGCTAAGCCCTGTGTGGACCCCGGGTCCACGCCAGGAATCCAGTGTGTGACAGGAGGGCCTCCATACCCACATGTCTGCCAGCTGCTGGGGCACCAAGCAAGCATCTGCACGGCAAAGGCCTCCCCCAGACGCGGCATGCTGGGCCCCAGTGAGGAGTGCCACATCAGCCTGGAGCTGGCTACTCACACCCAGGTGAGTTAAGTGGTGAGGGGGCCTGGGGGGCTAGGAAGGCACCCTGCCCCACTCCCGTAAGAGGGCAAGAGATTTCTTGCATTTGGGTCTGGGGTCCCCATTCCTGTTAGGCCTGCTCTCTAGGGATACAAGGTCAGGAATCCCGGAGCAGGCCTGAGAGGCCCTCAGACCCGCTGGCCATGTCTAGCCTTTGGTGCCAGCTTTACCCTCCCCTTGTCTGCAGCCATAGGTGGGCCTGGCTTTCCAATTTGCCCAAGGATGTGAACAGGCCCTGTGCTGGGTGCTACTGGGAGAGGCTAGCTGGTGGCCGCCTTCCTGGAAGAAGGGCACAGCTGTTCCCTGACACGGCCCACAGGAAGGCCATTGGGGAGGAACTTGCTCAGTACTTGGTGGGGGGTTGCTGGCTATCTGTTTGTGGTTCTTGTGGGAAAAGAGACTTCTTCCTTGTGGAGACTTGGAGACCTAGTCCCATTTCTCCCTGGCAAACCTGGAGACAGTAGACTTTCTTTCTCAGCTGAGTCTGAGCTCTACGGGGATAGGCAGATGGACACAGGCACAGAGCAGGCCTCACTCAGGAAAGGCTTGATTTCTGTGGTAACAGCTTCATCAGAATAAGTGTGTAGCTTCTCCAGAGGCCCACTTTGAGGGTCTCCCTTCACGTGGGTATGCACAGAAATTTGGAGCAGACTCAACCAGGAGCCTTGAGGAAGGGGCCAGGGTGTGGGACATCAGGCTGGGCCTGTGAGTGGTGGCTCACTGGAGGGACTGAGGAGCCCTTCCACAGAGATGAGACTAGACAGAGGTCAAGGTTCTTGTGCTGAGTGTCTCACAGCAACCACCTCTGCTAGGGAAGACCATGTGAGGCCCAGTCCTGGGACTTACGTGTAGTGATGTGCCCTTGGTGGGCTTTCTTATAGGACGAGCTGAGCGATCTGGCCCTCCCTTGTACCGTGTCAGGCATGAAGGAGCCACTGGTTCTGGGCATTTCTGGGAAACCCCAGGGACTGCAAGTGGCTATTGCCATCTCTATGGAGGGCTCTGACAGCAGGTGAGCCCAGGGCTGGG